ACATGCTCCATTAACAATGATAATTTTCGAGATGCACATCATTTCTCTTTAAAGTCCCTATTAGTGTGCTGGTTAACCACATGCACTCCACTAACGACATATTAAAGTATGATGTGTGTTTTCATTGATTAGCATACTTTTCACATTTTTTTTAAAGTAACTAGAGTGAGATTTTTAAAGAAATTTCTAGTACTTTTATATCATTATACTTTTTAATGAGACTGTGTCCTATCAAATCCGTTCGGCTAACGACCCTCCACCATACAAGGGAGCGGTGGGTGAGAGTGGATACCCAATGACGGTCATTTTATAGGTCGCTTCCTTATACCCCCTTATAGTATAGCTTCGTGAATGAGGCCAACTACTGACTTGACTGAATGGTCTTATACATATACTATATTAAACTTTTAATCATATATAGTACAAGGTGTATTTTAAAACTTTTTCAAAATACTAGGTTCGGTTTTAAATTTTCGAAAATTAAAAAAAATAATTTTAATTTAAAATTAACCAATTATGATTTAATCTTTATCTTTTAATTAACTATTAATTAAACTAATTTAAATCATATAAGGATTAAATAATTATTTACTATTAAATTATTAATCAAATAATTTAAATTTAATCCTAATCCAATCCCTACTAGATTTTCGAAAATTAAGGGTATTGAGATTATCCAATTTTAATTATTCTATTTTAACCAATTAAAACAATAATTATCAAATAAGGAAACCGTAACAACCCTATGGATTTTCGAAAATCAAGGGAGGAGGCTAGGGTTTCAAGAACCCTAGCCTAAGTCGAAAATTCTATGCCTTAGGGTTTAATTTCTATAAACCCTAATTTGATCCATTCAACTATTATGCATTTTCAATTGAAAACATTGGGCTCTGATACCACTGATAAGTTTTATAGGGTTACAAAAAATCATGTGGCGGAAAAATAACTTAACTCTTAAGTTCACATGTAACCTAATTGGATCTATATTTTCACTATTGAAAGCAATAATCAATGAACATCAAAGAACCCTATGGAAAACCTAGTTTAATCGAAATTCATAATAGGGTTAGGGTTTACATACCTTTTTATTATTCTTGTAACTAACCAATGAAATCCTTCTTCAAAAGCTCTTGGAAGCAAGCACTAGAAATCTTGTGCCTCTGATGGTTCACACACAAACCCTAGCAACTAAGGAAACTTGAAGAGAGAGGAGACGAGATGGAATTTTCGGCTATCCTTCTAGGAGTATGAGTGGCCAAAAATGTGGAGCTAAAGGACCCTATTTATAGCTGATATGAACACCCTACAAACCCTAATTTGAAATAAATTAATACTCGAAATTATCTAGTTTCTTAATTATCCATATTATCAATATAGAATATTCCAGAAACCATAGGGAGCGTCCAATTTTCGGCCAACCCTAAGAATATTCTAGAATTCCTCTCTTGTTCAACTATTGAACAATTACAACTTTTGTCCTTGCACTTTTAATTAACCCAATTAATCCCAAAATTAATTCTAATTAATTCTTAACTAATAATATTATTTCCAATTAATATATTATTCTCATAATATATTTGTAAATCATTTATTGTTATTTATTAATCATATAATAAATCAATAAATCAGTCTCTCTCTCTCTCTCTCTCTCTCTCTCTCCAAAAAATTTCATATTTAATTACTAGGTTTGAAGGCAACCCAAAAGAACTTTGCTAATAATTCAAATATATACCAATTTAGTTATTGGCTTAGACATATAATCCAACAGTAAGGGGCAAGGGGGGTCAAGTTAGCGTGTAGTGGATGGATCAAGTCAGCGTGGAGCGGGTGGATCAAGGGAAAAGAAGATGGACAAGGGAAAAAGGCATAAAGTGCAAAATGTAGGACCTAAGTGAAGTTCGATACATATGAAAGCATGACTGATCAAGTTATTTGCTTACCTTTTGTTTAAGATTAAAAACTTGTAATGATGCTTTTGAGATGTTTTTTTTCAAACATGTTTAATCTGGATAATTACATCTTTTGCTACTAGCTAAATTACTGATGTAACTAAGTTGATACAATCCCCATGTCATGCTATATTTCCAGTTGTAATGATCAATATGTGGTGAAGATTTCTAGTTTCTTTAGTCATTTATAGTGTTTTAATTGTGTGCCTATCTCATTCTATTCCAATGTTTGATCAATAGCCAAAACTCATTCCATTACATTCCAACGTTCTTGATCAATGACAAAAAGTCAATGCTTGATAATTACCTTAATATGCAATATCATTAAACTGATTAACCAAAACTATACAATACATCAACATTCTAATACATGACATCCCATCCCAAATCAAGTGGTAAAATCTCATTGCAGTTCTTATTACACATCCCATAATACAAATCCAAAATACATCCCTAAATACAAAAAGACAAATACACTGAGCAAAATACATCCCCAAATCTAACTCCTACTTAGTGCTTACATATATATAAACGAAAAAAAGAACCAAGATAGAAGAAGCATCCACTTCAGCTTTACTGCCTCTGCACGAACTCGATGCAACATCATTTCAACATTGTTCAGTTTCCTTAGCAAGTCAGGAATCACCTCTACAGCCCCTATGGCACATCAGATCATCCACCCACCCAAGAATGGACAGCTTTGACCATTTCAAGCACAAAACCAGAATCGCGGATTAAGGTCCGTCCAAGACGTGACTCTTACAGTTATGCTTCCACACGTACAAATCACCATTTTTGGGAGAAGAGAGCTTCGATATTTCCAGAGGCCAGCTTGAACTTTATGAACGTTGTCTAGGACATTTTAAACGGGATGGAGAAGGCTAGATGTGAAAAGACCAAAATACCCCCACCTTTTTTGAACTTAATGGGCCCAAACGGGCTGAAATTAGAGGTAGTTAAGAAAAAGTACATTCGGTGCAAGTTTTGAAAACCCCAAGGGCCAAATGCATCAAAAATAAATAATATAACTAAATAAATAATAAATTGTTATTCGATTCTTATTTTATAAATCAAAACCAATCTGAAATCCAAAGCAATAATTCTGTTTTGCTGGAAACCAATCAAAAAATCTAAATATCCGAACAACAGTCTAAATGCAAATTTTCCAATTTTTCAATTCGATTTTATTCAAATAGTACTGCAAATTTTCCAATTTTTCAATTCGATTTTATTCAAATAGTACTGAGCCATAAATATAAATCTATATTTATGTGATAATATAATTATAAACTAATATAAATTGTTGCCTTGTATCACGACTTAGAAAAACATCATGGTCTTAACATGGCTCGTAAAGCTTTACGATTGGTCTTATCGCGACGATAAGCCTCACGTCTTTTAGAACCTTGCTATTACCCTTAATATAATATTTATCTTTTAAGTTTTTATTTATTTTTTAATATTTTATTATTAAAAGAAAAATAGAAATTGTATACTAGGCAATCAAAAAGTGTGACATAAAACAAAAGCCCCAAGACCGAAAGGAGTACCCATATCTATCACGCAGTGGGGTGATATGGTTGTGTGAGATGCAATGACTAAGGATCGCTTCAAAGAGGTTGGACACCACATTCTCTCTCTCTTCTTCTCTAGAACTCAAGTAGTTGCCCATTTTTTATACTCCGTCGTCCCAATATCATTGTCCACAGACAAAAAACATACATATTAAAAAAATCATTAATTATCACTAACTTTATTTAATAAAATGACAGTTTTGTCCTTACTTTGCATTTAATGTTCCATTAAATGCTTAGTTGATTAAGTAATAATGAAGGGGTATTTTGGTAAAAATATTATTTATTTTTAAAAGTGGACTATTATTTTGAGACAAACCAAAAGAAAAATATGGACTATAATTTTGAGACGGAGGGAGTATATAATTTCTTTTAAAAACTTTATGAATACCAACAGTTTCATTCATTTTTCCATCACAAAACAAACACTCACAACTTCGATATTTATTTTATCATCATCATTGTCTACTTCATAGGATAAGTTGTCATGTCATTACAGGAAACAACGTTTATCGGAAAGTTATGGGAAAAAAACAATGATGTATTATTAAGAACAAGAAGCTCAAAGTTCACGTTTTATAACAAGAAATGGTCCTTTAAAGATAAATCGAGTTTATTAAGATCCTAAAAATCAAGGATTTAAGGATTCGGAAGAAAATTTGGTGTGGTGTATTTTGATGATTACTATGTTTTAGTTTTGTTCTCTAATTTTAATTATGTAATTTTTATTTTCAAGTAAGAAAAATATTTTCATTTTTATTAATTTTGTGTTAATTAAGATTTCTTTTAATAACATGTGAACAAAGAACAAGGAGGGAAAAAGAGAAGCAATCGTGATTAAAGCAAGAGGTGAGTGGGTAATTTTCCTTTCATCTTAATAACTAATTTTTCATTCACAACCTGTTCCCAAATCTCCTAATTTTGATCCTAACAAATAAGAGAAATCATTACTAACTATCTTTTGATATAAAAGTCTGTTTCTTTGTACCAATGAACAAGAGCATCATTCAGATGATCAAGAACATAATACTTTGGGTGCATAAACTTTAAGTTTATGGCAACTTTCACGTTTGTTAATAGGGAAATCGAATACCATATAAAAGATTTAGGGGTGATTAATACAGGCTCAAAAGCAGCAGAATAACATCGGGTGTAGAAATCAAGAACTCTGAACAAAAGTTTTATCTCATATCGCAACTTTGAACACATGATTCCTATTAGAAAGATGCTGAAGAGATTAAACAAACAAGATCATCATCATAACTATCTACCTAACGAAAAATAATTAGCAATCTAAAGGATAGATAATAGATTTTAGGATCGAAATATATAAATAAGTATAAGAGCATAGCTTAGCTTTCAACAACACACCAACAGAAACCATCATCCATTTAAGGAACACGAGATTGAGAAATTAAACCTAAATCGAATCCGCAGAGGGGATTGACGATTCATCCGTGATAATCGATGAAGATCTTCACTTCTTGAGACTACCACGAACACCAGGGCGACCCTTGGATGTATCCGCGACGGGTGCGAGCACGGCATGGAGGTTAGTTATCTTTGATTCATCATACGGAAGCTTGGGGTGCTTCGATTCATGGTGGATCTGCATCGTTTTAACATCCGGTACGGTGATCTTGCAGAGAGGGCATTCGAACTTAGCGTGGCCTCCCTTCTCCTGACCGGTCCGATCAGCAACTCCGGCCTTGCCGCCGCCTCTATTGGTCGTGGCCGCGTCCACTTTCGCCTGGATTTCTTTCGCCGTGTGCTTCTTCGGCTTCGCTTTTCCCGTCATTTTTGCTTGTTACCACGGACGCTAGGGTTTCGATCGACGACAGAGAGGAAAAGGGGAAAAAGGGAAGCGGATAAACACAAGAGATTGAAATGCGAACAAGTGATGAACCCTAATTGGTGGCCTTTAAATAATTAGAATAACATAGCTTTTTTTCTTTTTCTCTTCTTTTCCGGATGTGATAACAAATAGGATCGAGCTTGAGTTGTTGGATTCTGATTTGTGACCTCGTTTGAGAATAGTATTGAAATTATGTTTATGTTTAATGAAATAAAATTAACTAGAAAGGTTGGATTTGATTTTGATAAAACAAAAATATTAAAACATATATATAGAGGAGTTTGGAATTGCTTATTTAAAACCTTTTATGTTATTTAAAAATGTTTTATTAATTTATTATATATAAACAAAGTTTTAGAAAAAAATATTTGGATTAATTTATTATCTACTATAATAAATAAAGATAATTTTGTCACATGTCAATCATTAATACGTTTTGACACTTGACATTTTGTGACATTTTTCAAATAAATAATATTTACATACCAATTTATGGTTTTTTTCAATTTTTAAAATTAAAAAAGTTACATAATACTTATATTTATATATGTAAAGTATCAAATGTAATAAATATTATACTAAATTGCAATTAATATGTTTCTTCATTTCTTATTTCAAAATTTTATTTTAAAAATTCTTATTATTTACATTTTTATATTTTATTTTCTTTAATCAATCAGTGTAGTATACGAATTTTACACCTAGTGATTATAATATAATCGAACACCTAAGAATATTTATTATATGAGTCAAATCGGAATAAACTAATAAACACTTTAAATAAATAATCTCATAATAAACTAATAAACAACTAGTTGTGAGACCTATGTATTACATGGTTAATTTAAAAAAAAAGTTAAATATAAAAGTCAAAATATTTGAAAACTTTGAATTTAAAAGAAAATAAGAAAAATAATGAATTATTATAATGTAAATGTTTTTTATCTTTTAAATTTAAACAAATAATTTAAATACATAAAAAATTAATGAGTTTTAATTTTAAAAAAATTGAAATTAAAAAGTAAGTTTATTCATGAAATTGATATCAATTTATTACTACATTTATTGCAATTATTACATTAAAATATTATGCGGAATTTATTAAAATTGAAAAAAACTCATAAAATGACATGTAGAAAAAATAATTAATTCAAAATAACTACAAAATGACATTTGACAAATTAAATGAGAGTTGACAAGTGAAAAAAAAACTTTTATTTATTAGAGAAGATTTAAATAAGCAATCTCAAAATTAAGGACCTATGAAAATATGAGCTTGATACTTGTTTATAATATAAAGTTTTACCTAAAAGAATTCCTTTCCATTTTATTCAACTAGTTTATATCGTCAATTACAATTTCCAATACAATACGTATAAAACGACATGAACTAATATAAACATCTAATACTACAACATCAATCTTCCATACTTTATCTTTATCTTAACACTAATACATTGACTATAAGCACTTGTACTTTAAATTGATACCCGTAAATATAAACCACAACCGATCGTAAACTATTTGTAACATATTACCCTTTCGTCTCAACATGAAGTTCATATGACTTCATCATAAATAAGTTTAAAGAAATTAAATATCCTTCTACTTTTATTTCTACAAATCCTCCTATCCAATTAAATGATAACATGTGTTATTTTAGTATACTTAAATATTATTAAATGACCATTAAATGTGACACATTTCATCATTTAATTAGGTAGGAAGATTTGTAGAAACAAAAAGTAGGAGGATATTTAATTTCTCATAAGTTTATTTTTCAAGTTAGTATTAATTTCAAACATGAATATCATACAACAAACTCATACTTTATACTATAACTCACAATAAACATATACAAGTCCCACGCTAAACCACCAATGTTCCATAATAACTCAAGAAAATACATTTTGTCTTTATATATGTATACACACGAGGCATTAGACAAGCATATATATATATATATAATATATATATATATATATATATATATATAATATATATATAGGGCTAGGTTATTTTGTTTCTTACATTATTTTGTGCTAGAATGCACCAATAGGAATTTAGTAAATTAAATAATTATTTAATTAAATAAATAAAGATATTAAATTATTTCCATAATTATATGTATATTAAATGATATCCATAATTATAATTCTCTTTTTATAGAAACTAATTAAATCTGTCATTAATGTCAGCAATAACAATCTTTCAGAATAAATTCGCATCTAGGTTTTTATATATGAGTTCGTATTTTGTTTCAGGACTCACTCACTTAAAATACAATAAAGTTGCATGGAATATGAAGAACGAGAGTGTATTCTACTAGAATACACTCTCATTCTTCTAGATATGAATTCATTCTAAAAGAATACTATTGTTGACATTAATGACGAATTTAATTAGTTTCCATAAAAATGAATTATAAGTATGGATAGCATTTAATATGCATATAATTAATACTAAATTCTTATTGGTGCATTTTAGCACACAATAGATATAAGAAACATTTGAACCTACCTCTCTCTCTCTCTATATATATATATATATATATAATATATATATCTATATATATATATATATATATATTATATATATATATAATGTTGGTCCAAATACATTTTGGGACCAGGGAGAGAAAAATTAAGGCCCGTAAAAACACAAATTTCACAAAAATATAATAAATTATGAAAAATATTTCTTTTTAGATGAAAAAGTGCTAATTACATTACAAAAAATAAGTAGTAATTTCAAAATAATAAAAATCCAAAACTCAAATTGAGTCAAATTAGAATTTTAGTCCATGTGGTTTGGTTGGATACATATTTTTTCTCCAACTTTTGAAGATTTGACAAAATGCATCATATTACACTCTATATTATGTTTCATTTTAAAAGCCCATTTTATCCTTTCTTATAACCTTTTGTTTTTCTATTACACATTTATAATTTCTTTATATATATATATATATATATATATATATATATATATATATATATATATATTATTTTCACATTTAGGTCGTTTTTATTTTATTCTATTTATTTATATTTTTTATGATTTATATTTTTTTTTAACTTTTGTTCGAATATATTGTTTAAATGTTTTCTTACACTTTGTTTGCTTATATTTTTTTTGATGTTTTGTTCGAATATAATTTTCTAGTTTTTTTTTAATGTTTTGTTTGTAATTTTAATGTTTTTTTTGACATTTTGCTTTTTTATATTTTTGTAAAAAATTTTATAAATATTTTTTGTAAAAAATACAAAAAGGTTTGTTAAATGTGAATATGATTAACATAGATTAGCTATAAAATTATTTATTTCAATACGATTAGACAAAACTGCAAAAATGGTCCTTATGGTTTCTCATTTTATATGGTTAAGGTCCAAACCATTGAAAAGTTATAGATTTGGTCATTTTCAACAAGTTTTGTTGTGGTTTTGGTCCCTCTTCCGTTAACTTTAACAGCTTGACTGTTAACTTTTTTAGAATGACTATTTTACCCTCAGGGACCATTTCTGCATCCAAACTACAATGACAATTTCTACATGTATTCTTTTCATTTTTATTGAATTATTATATATTAATAAATGTTACTTTTAATATATACTATTTATATACTAATAAATATTATTTTATAAGATTATTAATTTTTTTAATTAAAGTTTTTAATTTCTTTGTTATCGGATATTTTAATTGGATTGTTACATAGGAATAAATATTATTTTTAATATATAATATTTATATTAGATTAATATATTGGATTATTAATATATTGTAGTTAGTTTTGTTTATTGGAGTAATTTATTTTTTACTGGATTATTATATATTAATAAAATGTTATTTTTAATGTATAATATTTGTATCCTAATAAATATTACATTATCAGATTATTAATTTCTTTTAGTTAATTTTTTTAATTCCATTTTTTTGGATTAATTCTTTTCTATTGAAATATTACTTTTAATTTATTATTTTTTATATAATAAATATTATTTTTTATATTATTAGTTTATTTTTATTGTATAATAATAATTCTATTTAATTTTATTAATTGCACCACAAAGTTGTCAGAGTAAGCAAAAGTGTCGCCTGCTCATCAACGAAAATTATCGGGATCACCGCCAAAAACCTTTATCGGAGGTCCGACGTAAACCCCACTAACTTTTTCCACCCAACATCCCCAATAGCCACCTACGACAACCTCTTCACAATCCACTGGAATCCTCCATATCTCACACAATGCGCAACAAACTCCTATAAAAAGTGGCGGTGATGATCAGGTGATGGTAGTGGTGTTATTGCAGGTGACTACCGTCATCATTGGTTGGAAAAGGTTGGTGGGTTTCTGTCCGACCTCCGATGAAGATGTTTTGTGGTGATCCCGATGATTTTCGATGATGAGAGGCAACGCTTTTGCGTATTCTGACGATTTTGTGGTGGAACTACTAAAATTAAAAATAATTAATAGTATACATTAATAATAAAGTAATACACTAATAATTCAACAAAATAATATTTATTATATAAAAACTAATAATTTAAAAGTAATATTCCAATAAGAAGGAATTAGTCCAAAAAAGGAATTAAAAAAATTAAATAAAAGAAATTAATGATCTGATAATGTAATATTTATTAGGTCATAAATATTTTAAATTAAAAGTAATTATTATTAATATATAATAATCCATTAAAAAGAATTACTCCAATAAACAAAATTAACTAAAATAAACTAATAATCCAATATAATAATATTAACATATAAATATTATAAATTAAAAATAATATTTATTCATATATAATAATCCATTAAGAAAGAATTGCTCCAATAAACAAAATTAACTAAATTAAATTAATAATCCAATATAACTATATTCATTAATATATAAATATTATATATTAAAAATAATATTTATTCATATATAATAATCCAATTAAAA